CACACACACACACACAAATACACACACACATATGCACACAAGTGCAATATTGCCATACGTGTAACGAAACCCATAAAAAGTTCGCATTTTTGTTTTTGCCTTCATTGTTCAATCGAAAACTCATATAAGCTAAATTTTGAAAATTGGAAGCATACTGGTCGATCCCACGCAGAACTGCAAACCTGAATTCAATTTTAAGACCTCTTTCCGGACTGCCGCTTTTATCTTAAAGTGATGAGGAGAAGGTAGGCAAAGTGCAAACAATGTTAATGCACTACTTTTTTCTTGTGAGTGTGCATCTCTGTTTCCTTTCCATCTATTTTAACTCGTGATTCTTCTCTAAGAAGTTGTGGGGTTTCGGAAACAGATAAAGAAGGTGTGAGGAAGAATCGGGCTACACAACATTAGTTGAGCTTCGCATATATTGCGGCATGGAGAAAGCTGACACGCGGGAGCAGGCTAACATGTATTTTTCCGGGAACGACAGCGATAGAATGATCGTTAGCATCCACCCATTTGATGGCTGCTTCCGGAGCCGCATCCACATCGCACGGCATCTCAACCGTTGATTTCCGTACCACATTCCAGATCCGATGGCTTGGCATCTTGAAACGTGGCGCATATGCTATAAACAAACTGCTTTTTTTTATCAGCTAAGTCTAAACCTGTAGCTGCTCGCACAGTGTCGTGACGCAGCAGTCTCGCTCAGCGCCTTCCAGAGAAGTTTATGTATTAAAAAATTAGTGACATTTTGCACTGAGACCGGTTACGCCGTCCTTCCGCAGCTGTATTATTAGTGAGAGGCGGACGCATGCCATACGCGGCTCTACGAGACTCTTTTGCACAAATTTACTCCTCTTCATGCCTTGCTAGTTGTAGGCACGTCATTCCCACAGACGTGCTGCAGTGGTTCGCCTCCTCCCGCAAGTTCCACTTGCTAACAATGCCATCTGCAGGCTGGTGGCAAAACGACCATCAGTGCCTGACTTATCTAAGGATGGTCTTGGCCTTTTTGGGGTATTTCGCTTGTAGCTTTCTTCAATCCTGTGCAGCCTGTCTAGGAAATTTCCCTTCACTATGCTGCACTGGTGCAGACAGTTTTCAGCAAAGCGTGACGCATTCAGTTTAACCAAATTAATAGCACCTTTTACTAGTGATTAGCGCTATCACACTAAATTTTTCGATAAATTTACCCACTTTTTAACGCTATTCAGCGCTCTCGGTCTTATTTTGAACGATTCTGACATCTTAACTAGCACAAAGACGGCCACAGCCCACAATTCCTTCACTCTCTCAGATCTCTTCTGGATGACTTAGCTCGTAAAAAGTTAATTTATCAGTGGAACCTATGCCTCTTACTCTCGGGCTAAAGAAGCTCTCAGTCTGTAAGTGGAGCAACAACAACCGCATGAAGCAATTATTTATCGTTTCGTATAGGAAGCTGTGGTAAATTCGAAAGACTATTTGAAAGTTTATTAAATTTGGAGGGCTGAATAGTTGACATGAAGCCCATTGCTTAGCTAAAGTCGGAGATAAAGAAAGCCGACTGTTAGAGCAGCGCACATCCAGAGTGATCCTTTATAGGATAAATTGCATTATACCTCGGACGTTCACGAATGCATTTCCAAAAACATATCCAAAGGGATTCGACGCATTGCATTGGTATACTGCGGTATCAATATCATGATCTAATTTTATGATACGTAAGATACGGCCATTATCCAGAATCATGCGCCGGTCGTTGTCTACTAATTCTAGAAATCAAGGACAACCATAAATATCAGGAAACAAAAAAAACATCCTAGCCATGGCTCGATACTGCGTAGTCTGTTGCTGCTCGTACACCACGATGAGATGAAAAGGTCGAGATATGTGGAAGTTGCACGCGCATTTATAAGTTAAATGAGACAGAATATTTTTTCGATATGCAAGAAGCTGCTATCACTTATACCTTAGTGTCAATAAAGTTGAACTACAGCTGTGCTTTGTTGCTGCCAAGGCCAGCACCACCGCAATTCCCAGTAAGGCATTCAAATCGAGTTTTAATGAAAGAGTGAAGGGAAGGGCAGAATGAGCGAATGGAGTAGTGAAATTTTAAGCCTAACTGGTCAGTACATCTGTCTGCAAGTTTTTTTATTCCACATTACTAATTCAATTTTATAAAATTCCGACTTTCATACTTACGGATTGTTGCGGTACGTCTTTAACTATGCTATACAAAAAAATTGTTTTGTGTTCAAAATCTCACTAAGTGAATAATCTCTAGGACAAACAGAGGAATAAAACAGCTTTTTTCTTTTTATAAAAAGCACTAGGAAAAATAAATTGTTATTTCGCACAGTCATTAACAAATATTCCCAAAAAGCAGTGGGAGGGACAGTGGGGCCCCGAAAGCTGTACAACAACACAAACAGCCACTGAAAACCAAAAATTGCTAGATTAGGTAACTGTGCGCTCCAAGAAAGAGAGAGATCGGAATAGCTTCCTCATTTAACGAGCTGTGTAATTTCCTGATTTGAACTGAGATCATAAGTTAAGACAGAGAGAAAAGTAATACATATAATAATTCCAGAATCGCACTCCTGCACACGACTGAAAACAGTTTTTATGCATTTTTGCTGTGCAGCGCTACAGCGAGCAAAGACTCATACTGTCGAGAGATTACCCGTGTGTGTGTGTTCGGGAATGCGTGAACTTTGTCACTCACTTTCAACTCAGCAACCAGAAAAGCTGGGAGGATCGAATTTTAGGGCCATATTCCCACCTCATGTGTTATCCGCCTTTTTTAAAATTTTCGCTCACACGCGCCTCCCGGACTCCCGAAAAAAATATGCAGATTTCTTCGGCGGAAAACGATTTCGCGAACCAGGCAAGGTACAAAGCTGAAACGTCCCGCGGATATTCTACTTTCATGTGTGGTCTTAATTCTGTTTGGATGTGAAATTCTCTGCAGGTGGTTATGAAAAAAAAGGCTGGAACGCACCAGGCGAGCCGGTGCGATCATGCGTTTTTGCATCAAAACTAAAGT